ACACTACCTAAGATAATTATGAACGAATATGGTTGTCCATTACATGGACGATAAATAAAAATAAAAGGATTTTATACCTTTTAAGGAGCTTCAGAATAAGCTCTGCCTTAGACGGTATATTGGTGATGGTGAACGTGTATGGTGGATGTGCCAAACAGGCTGCCTGGTGGATTTACTTCCAGCTGAAGTAAAGACTAGATTCAAACGCATCACATATGAAAAACATGAACACCCGGTTATCTATATGATGTGAATTTTTCCTTTGAATAAAAAATATTAGTATAACTCGCTTTAGTTCATGATTAGGTACTATAAGTTGAATATGGTTCAAGTTGACCAAGTGAAACATAAGCTACACCTTGAAAGAAATAGCATTTGATAAGGATGGAATAATGCATGGCAAAAGAAAATGCTATATTATGCCTGCGGGGTTGTTCTGCAAAAAAGCTACAAAGTGGCTATATCAATATAATAACCTAGGTTTAGTGTTACTGTCTTCATTCGGTATTAATACCGTAACGGTGGGTACGGTGGGAAATTAACAGGTAACAACACTTCTGTCAATAGCAACGCAGCAACAAGAGAGGCGGACTACCTGAGTTAATTATGAACTACATGATCCGTACCACCATGAACTAGAAATCACAACAGACCACGAAAGTGAAAGCACCTAAAGGCTGACTTTCGACCGCAGGAGTTTAAGTTCAGATCCCAATTTTGCTGGAGTGCCCATCAGAAGGTTGAGGTCCACTCAGGGATGAGTGGGGGTGGATCTGTATCTGTAGAGTAGGGAGGGTGAGGGTAAGTTCACGGCACTTAGGCCACATGTGACCCGGGGAGTTGTCCTCCTAGGTCCATCGTCCATCCAGGAAGGTGGACAGGTCACTTGGAGACATTTTCTTTATATCGGCAGGTGTAGGCCAAGACTCGCCGAACACACTGTCTTATTGATGATTACTCCGGGCACTCGCATAGAACATGCCTGACAGTCTCATCTTCCTGTTCATACATCCTGCATAGAGGTGAGTCCACTACCCCCATATTATGGAGGTGTTTTCTTAGTTGACAGTGGCCAGTCAAAAATCCTACTGTTAAGCGAAGTACGGCTCTGCCGAACTCTAAAGACCTGATTCGGTCCTCAGCAGGGCAGGCACAAAGTGTATGCTTTGTTAATGAGGTACTCGTTATTACTATTACTTCTTGTCCAACGATGCCACATTTTGAACAGATAACAAAAGTTTTTAGTAATTATAACTGCACCAATATTGAATTTCAACACTCAAATCGCGATCAGTTCCTGAACTGAACACGACGGTGATAACCATCCCCGCATTTCCGTATTTCTATTCGTCACCGTAACATTACTTCAAATTTAATTTTGTGACTCTTCAGCCAATCATAAAACTCGGTTAGTAAAAATTATCCAATACGGACCGCCAAGTCTACAGTCCACGTGTACTAGTTCGCAGCCGTTTCATTTCTATGTATTGGTTTTTTTGGCCTTTGAGAATTCTGCCAACTTTTAATGTGCACAATATCGTTTACTTCGACTATACCATGGTATGCAAGTTAATGGTGCTCACTTCGTACATTTGACAAAGTAAATTTTTCTGTTTGATTCCACTTTTCAAGATCAAGTTTTGATGCAAACAAGCATTTTATTTTTTGTGACGTTGCTTATCGAGGGATGTTANATTTATGGCGTTAAACATGGCGTTTTCATTCCAGTTTTGGCGTACGGTTTTTCGAATATAATTTCGTGGCATGATTTCTAAAAGCAAATAATTTTGAATTAGTCCGGCTTTTTTTAGCAAGAAAATAAGGAGTCTTAAATACTTATCAAATTATTAAATGCATGGTTTACATTCATATACTAGCTGCCCCCTAGGGAACTTCGTACCACTTCAGAATATAAACTACTACACTGCCCTACACTGATCTATTCTACACTACCGTACGCGCTATCCTATCCTACCCTACATTACTCTACCTTTCACTACCCCTCCCTACACTAACCTACCCTACACACTACCATTATACTACTTTACACTACACTACCCTAACCTCCACTGCAACATATAAATCTACACTACACTACTTACTACCTACTTTTTATTATCACCTTTCAAACCTTCCTTGAACTACAACAAACATTTACAAAACCAAAATCGGCCCAGAAAGATATCCGTTATGATTGGTTCCCCTATTCAAAACATGTATACACCCATTTATTGAAAATTCACTGAACACAATTGACACGGGGTAAAATGATCCTGGGATCATTTTGTCCACCCAATGTAGGGATCATTTTGTCCCAAATGCCCCATTAAAGAAAAATATCAAAACATAACCTATGATTTTTAAATACTGTAATGAAAGGCGGTTAAATCGATAGCTAATTGACAGCAAAACCCGAGACAAACATACCTGTCACGTTATATGTACATAGACTAAAGCTACATAATGTCAAATAACAGCTTACCTTAGATTGAACACAGGAATTTTGAATTTTTTGTGATAAAAACTTTTCTACAACGAACAACGCCATGACACTGACACAGATTGTACAGCTAGGCCGTAGGAACCAGAAATTCACAAAAAATATCCTAGATGGCGCTATTAAGTCGGTAAAGGAGTCAGGGATCATTTTACCTCGAGGGATCATTTTGTACCACCTTCCCCTACTCCTTATTGACCGTACGACCATGTGGCAAGAACTCCTGATGTACTACGCCACGGTAATCGAAGAAAATAGTGAGCAAAACCTTGACATTTGATCGAACTAGGCCTGCTTTTTTTTGGTCTTGGCTCTCCTGTGCTATTCCATTGGAACGATTAGACTTTGGTCCCATGATTCGCCACCAGATGTGGCCCTGCTATACGCTTCATGCCCAACATTTCTGAAAAAATTGCATGGCATGAGCCAACCAATATGTCAACATCCTTAGCATCATCTCTAGTAATGATCCGACGGTTCTCCTTAACAATTTTCTTCTCTTACTCAACATTTTCATCGGTTGTTGTTGTATTATGCGTCCAGGGCGAGCTTCATAATTTAGATCTTCTCGACCTTCTGTGTTCTGTGAAAAGCGTGTACCAATCGTAAACATTTTTCTGACTCTGAGTACAGTCACTGTATGCCACTGTCAACATTCCACTGAGTTTTCGAGCACTTAATTCCATTTTTTATACATAATTTGATGCAAATCCTTTGATCCATTTTTTCGATAGCAGAAAATCGCTGAACACGCGAAACACTTGCGACTTCTATACCTTCTACCAATAAACTTAACATGCTAAACAGCTGAAACTGTGAACATATTTTTGAGACGAGTGTACCAACATGAAAAAATAAAAAATCGTTAATCGATGTATGTAGCCCCTGAAAATTGAACATTCACCTTACTTTTTGAACAGTCCACGTACTTACAGTACCTACTAGTTGCAGGAATATCGACATTTGTAAGTAGGTAGTTGTGGTGTATTACATATATTTATCTTATTTGGGACACTCATATTCTTATTCAAAAAGTTATCAAGTTGTCATAGGTATGTCAATTAAAAAGAACGTCACATATTCATTTATAAAGTGTTATTAATACGTGAATCAGATCAAATACCACTCATTCACAACAGTAGTCCTATTTCAATTTTCAAATTCAGAGAAAATAGTTTGATGAGTTCATATTTCAGCCTAGATGCAGTGATATCGTACATGCCAATATTTAATCTTCTTGAGAAACTTTCATATGAAGTGCACATCATGTTATCCAGTATGGTACCTCTAGAACAAATTACCTTTTGCCAGTAAGAAAACATGATAGAGGGACAGAGAAACATATTTTTCAGGCAATTCAGTATAATCTATTATGTTGTTTAACAAATTTGTTAAGAAAACAACGTTTCACTGTTCCAATCTTTCTTCTAGTTTTGAAATTTTCAGTTCGAATCGGATTTGTGCATAAGAAGAAAATTGAGTAGGTAACTGAGGATTTTTTTGTATGACTTGTACAAGAGAAATTTTATAAAATTGTTTCTGTTTCTTGTTTGTCAGAACGAGTTCTGAGATTCCATATCATCGAGGTATACTCGCTACGTACTATAGAGTAGATATGTTTCATACAATGAATTCCATAGAAGTCATATGTTATTCTTTTACCAAAACCAACTGTATTCCTGATCCTTTCAATTGTGTTCTATAAATGAGAATCAAATTTGTGATTCAACTGGAAAGTTATACGCCCAAGTCAGTAGTTTGGTTACCCCAAAGAAGATTTTGACCATTCTATGACAATCATTTATACATTCTTTAGATGTGCTCTGTTACTCTATATTAATTTTTCGGATTGTGGAAAGTTGAATATCCAACATCAAGAAACTCTAGGTATTTTCTACTTTCTTCCACCTTCTGAATTTTGTGAATAATGATTCATAAATTTAACCAGCTTGAATCGGATCAATTTTTCAGATTGTGAAAGGTTAAATATCCAAACGTCAATAAATTCTAGATGTATTCTACTTTTTTTAACTTTTCGAGTTTTTTGAATGTTGAGTCATATGATTTTATTTAAATAGATATTAATTACCTTATATTTTTCTAGGTAGCAAAATTGTTTTTTTTTATTTCATAAACAATTCGGAACGGCAATTAGGTAATAAAAATGGTAAAATGGACTACCATTAGGTCAAAACTTTCAAGAGAACTGATAAGTCTTCTACTCTAGGGATATTGGAATAAACTGCAAAAATTGAATATTCTAATTAATAGTTCAAAACTAAAATACGAAAATATAAAAAGCATTCTAACATAAAAAGACCAACTTCTTGGTCTCCTTATTTTAAAAAAGTTGAAGCACTAATCAAAACTTTTTTTTGAAAACAACAAGTAAATCTTTTTCAGAGTGTAAATAACTCTACTCAGTTGAATGAGAACGCTTTTATCCTACAAAAAAAAATCCTGAATGGAAGTTCAACTTTTAGAGTAAAATAAAACAAAAACGCACATATTGAAGAAAATGTATTTCCTTATTGGACATACAAAAAAAAAATTAAAAAAATTAATGCAGTCTTCGAAAATGGAAAGTTGCTAAAAGATCAACTTTTTCCTACTTAGCATTTTGTTTGTCACCATCACATTTTCTATCCACGGTTTTAGCTGGTTCCCCCGTTTGAGTAACAGGAATATTTTTATGTTCAATCTGCTCTCCATCTACTTTCGGAGCACATATTGACAGTACTCCATCAGAAGACAACTTTGATTCAACCTTGTTGATATCGTAGGTCTTAGGGAGAACATACCTCCTGACAAAGTGTCTATATATATGCCCGTGCTCATCCTCCTTTTCTTCATGCTTCCCCTCAATTGTTATAGTATTTTCTCCTGTTACTTTTACAGATATTTCTTCAGGCTTGAATTGCTGAACATCCAAATTGGCCAGAAACTTGTCGCTACCATAATTCACGGTGGATCCGGAATCATCACTGGAAGCTGTAGACTTCCAGTTCCTGATATATCCTGCAGGGCAACGAAGAAGCATCCTAGGAACCGTCATGGGTTGCAAAAGATCTTCTGGATCCAGAACAAGTCCGAAGTGCTGATCCATGATTCTGGAGGGACGCACCAAAGAATCGTCGAGCAAAAACGGTAATAAAGACATACTGCAATCACAATTTTTCTATTTTCTTTGAATCACTAATCAGTTTTACCGGCTTCGGCTTTTGACGTTTACTCGTTTGTTTTTTGTCTACGACTGCCACAACTGCGACTGATACACGGCAACACAAAATGCATGAATTTATATATTGATCATATTATTCTAGAATACTCGAGTTTGTTCGGCCGCGATCGATACCAAATCGGCACACGTTCCAGATCTTTCCTGTTAAAGTCGTTCATCGGATATGAACACTTTTGGGAAATAAAGTATATTTGAGAATTAAGACTAACACCAAATGAATCCTTTTAATATGTACCACAATTCACCTAGATATCTTTATTCAAATGAGGAAATAAGACAGGCTTGGATTTTTTTTCAGATTATGTAATATTATGAACCCAAGAATATGTTGAAAATGTTATTGGACTTTGAACGAATATTACTTATTGTTGATTATCTGATCAGATCTCTTATGCACTCCTTTTCATCATTATATTTTATTGAAAAACATTTGTTGATTGTTTGACTATATCTGTTTAACTGTCATTAATCAAATGTAAAAAACTCAATTTTATGCTAAAAGGGCGTTCCTCCTAATGACTGGAGTCTACTGAACTGACTTAATATTTCTCTTTAGTAATGATGTAAGTAAACTTGGAGTTGGATTTTTCAAATATTTTTTTTTCAATACAAAGGGATATTTTTGTTAGTTTGTTTTTATTGAACAAATTTGACATATATAAAGATCTGATCTTTCGCAAACGCCGCTGTCCTAAATGGAAATGGATTAGTAGTTCAGAAGAGCAATGTAATAAAGATAAGTGAATTTCGATCTCGCTTCTTAGAAAAAATCTTTTTCGACTTACCGAGTTGTAGAGTTCCGGCCCAACTGAAAATGAATAATTTTTTAATTCTTTAATAGAGATTTCATTGCATATCATATATTCTGGGAAAAATACATTGAAATTTTATTCTACGTCACTGAAAATGTGTTTTGTTAATATCTGCGTTGTTTTCCAAATTCATATCTGAAAGAAAAAGCCCTCTTGAAACAACTACTTTAATATAAACTTCGAATTATCAAAAAAATATTTCGAAACAAACTACTTTTATATGAACATTGAATTATACAAAAACCACTTTTTCCTATTCAATATGTACTCCAAATATTCGTTATAACATTGAATTAGATATTATTTACAGGATTGCTACACAATATAGTATATGAAAAAAGTAAAATTTCACCGACATGGAACAATGTGTTCCCTAATGGTGGACATCTGATATTTCGGAATAAGGCACGTTCCTTATTGCCTCTTCAGCATTCATCTGAATAACAATACAAGATGAATTACTCAATTATTTCATAAAATTATGACTCTCTATGTCAGGAATGAGTTGAATTTACTCATGTTATCGCCGCGCAACGACAGTAATATCGCTGCACCTTCCAAAACCTTCGCGGAGGCCACCGTGAGACACCTCAAGGTTGCCAAAGAGAGTGTGTGTTCGGCGAGTCTTGACCTACACCTGCCAATATGAAGGAGATGTCTACTAGTGACCTGTTCACCTTCCTGGAATGGACAGGATGGATATGACCTAGGAGGACAACTCCTCGGGAGGATGTACAACGGGTTACATATGGCCTAAGTGCTGTGCTACACTCCCCCTCCCTACTCTACAAATACAGATACTCATGCCATCGACGACAGTACGTAATGATATTCATTCACTTATTTTATTCAATCCCAGCCATAGGAATCTTGTTTAATATGGAAGGGGTATATTTTAGGAGAGGTTGATTTTCAGGAAAGGAAGGTTTTGGCTTTCTATTTCTCTATCTGAAGAGGCAATAAGGCAAGTTTCTTATTACGATACATCGAATGTCCGCCATTGAGGAAGACAGTGTTTCATGGCAGATACTATATTGTGTAACAATCCTATAAATGATATCTGATTCAATTCCATAACGAATGTTTGGAGTACAAACTTAATAGGAAAAAGTGTTTTTTGTATCAATGTTCATATAAAAGTAGTTTTTTCGAATGTACTTTTTTTTATTTGAAAATAATTGTTTCCTTGTTCTCTTTGGAAGATTTCAACATTTTGTGTATAAAGATGGAGAAGTAAATTTCCCAAAGATTAATCTGTCCTAAAAATATAACCCTTTCAATTCAAACAAGAATCTTCATTATTTATTCAAATAACCATAGTTATTTCCAGAGTTCATATCCGATGATTAGTTCTCGATCCTCTCCCGAACATAAACGAAATATCTAGAAGCTGCAGCCTGACAGCCAATAAAATTCAAATCTATCACGAACAATCTAGAGTCCGCCAATAGCAGTATATAATCCGTCGGCGAAGTTTACTGTGTCAGTTATATCATTTGCCAAGTTACGTTTTATTCAGTAAAAGGCGAAGTACAATTTGAAAAGTACCTAAAAGTTGATTAGTGCAAGTGTTCGACATTTATTTCGAATCATTGAAACGTGATGTCTTTACTACCATATTTGATTTTTGACGAACCCGACATGTGGAGACCCCGCCAAAGAAATTTGGGGATCCTGACAGATGACGATTTTTTCCGCCCTCTGCCCATTTCCAGATCGATGCTGCAGTATCCAGATTACTTGAGAGATTTGAGAAATCTCAGTGCCGCCCTTCAACAAGACGCCGGATCGTCGGTTAGTTTCGACAAGGACAAATTCCAAGCAAACTTTGATGTTCAACATTTCAAACCCGAAGAAATTTCAGTAAAGGTAACTGGGGATAACACCATCACGATTGAGGCTAAACACGAGGAAAAGCAAGATGAGCATGGAAACATTGCCTATAGATTTATAGTCAGTCAACCTTACGGAGTTATCATTGGAGGACGATGGAAACGAAAAGTAGATGGCGCCAATACCGTGGTCTCCAAAAAAGAGATAAAAGATTGAGATGGAAAGTGTCGTAATAAAAAGTTGTAAATGATTATTTTTATGTTTCTGACAGGCTTTCTCTCCGTGACGTGCTCATTTGCGTTGCAATTTGTAAACATATAATAGGTTATTAGTAGTGGATTTTTGTGATTCTGAGATCAGAATCACGATTGTTTTCTTCATAATCAGTTTGTGTTAATTGTGCATTTAGTAGTTATTAGTTTGTGTCATTTGTACTTTTATAAGACAATAATTGTGAGCGAGTTGTGACAGCACAAAAAGGTGAAAATATATTCAATCATTATATTTAAAATTTCATGTTATTAGATCTCTTCAAATGTATTTCCAAAATGAATTATTCAACAAATGAAAGTGGGTGCACTATAGGTTATGTTGCAGAAACTTTGGAGAATAGGTATTCAGATATTCACCACCTGGATAAATTATGCAGTCACCAAAATGAAATTAAATGGCCATTGTTTGGGACATATAACATTTCACCTTCTGGTGCACCCTTTCCACATACCTAATGTGAAAAATTATACATTAAAATTTGCCATTTTAATTTCTTTGGTCTTTGGCTAGTACCCTTGTAAAACAAGTGACCTGATTTTCAAGTTGGTGTTGGTAATTTTGCAAAAAATATTTTTATATTTCAAAATATGTGATGATTATCAGCAAATTTACCTAATTGAGGTTAGCCTTTTGTTTCTTTTACAATTTTATCATCATTTCCAGATGTCTGGCAATAAATGTGCCTATAACAAATGTGGACTCTCAACTAGAAATGACCATAGTAACTTCCAATGGATCTATTATTCTGCAAGAGTCATACTCTTATATCAATATTACAGAAAAATTCAACAACTATCTTCATGTAAAAGTTTTGCAAACGAATAATGATATATAGTTCTTCTTGTTACCCTTATCTAATTGGACCACCAAAACAGTCCCTTTTGGAAAGCTGTTTTTGACAGTTTGGAAGTTTGACAGAGTACCATGAACATTACCTACTAGTTGTTGGCACTTTGTCAGATAGGTTTTTATTTAATGAACGAAATAACTGTAATCCCTAATTTTCTTAACAGTATTTCATGTAAGGCACAGTTTTGATTAGATCGCAAAGCTTTAGGGTAATTTGATTGCCTTGCTCAAGTTCTTCAACCACGCCTGTCACCATCACCATCACCACTTTGCTGAATATTGAAAAATAATAATTATCAGTTGATGATTATCAATGACTGTTGCATCAATTTTTTTATAAAGGGTCGCTGATATATATGAAAACAGTCGATTATTTTTTAAAGTAAGATAGCTAGCCAAAAATATTAAAATACAGAAGTTTTAGGGTGTTTCCAAATCTACCACACTAAATGAAAATTAGGTAAACAAGACAAGTCAAAAAGTCTTGAAGAAATAATGTTGCTTTTTCTTCAATAGAACACCTTATGTATCATTCCATATTACATTCTGATTGAAATTCTGAACAAAATCGATGTAGCACATCATCTCCTAAATTCAGCCGTTTTCGAGATATCGAATTTTGAAAATAACTTTTTACTACTCTAAAATTTATTGAAGAAAAAACACGAAATGATGAATATTTATTATGAAAGTCACACAAGGTGGAGTATGTGGACACAGTCAGATACCGAAACAGGTAAAAATCTCCCACCCTGAAAACCCTTCAGATACCAATTTTGAATAGAATTAGACCATAACCACAAAACTTGTCCGCCATAATGGAGCCGCCATTTTGTTTTGTTTTTTCTAACAAAAATTTCATAATGCATTTTAACCCGAATTATCTACACTTACCAAATTTCAAATCAATCAGATGGAAAGTGTGTCAAATTTAACTTGCAAGATTTGATTACAGACACACAGACAGATACCGATATAGGTGAATAAACTTAATGAAATCTTGTAAAAATAAAAACTTTAACAAGTTGTTTTATCGAGTTACCAATTAGTAGTATTTATTTTTCAGGCAACATCACATTGCCTGGTCTGAGCCCAAATCACTAAGAAACAAATTTTTGTGCAGCAGAAATTTCGACCCAAGATTTTTTCAACACAAATGGTTGCCAGGATCATTGGATGAGGACGAAAACATTTTTAATACAGTAGAGGACAGTTCTCTAGAGACCACCGAGGAGGAGGAGGAGGAGTCTTCAAATTCAAGTAAAGTATCAGAAACATCAAATGCACCTGCAGACCCAATAGATGATTTTTCCGCAACAGTGGAATCCTGCGCAGTAGTATTCCTTGCTGGTTACTTAGTAAAAAAATGTTTAGACCGATATAAATGTTGTGAATGTAGAGATATTTTACAAAATGAGGAAGATTTGGCAGATGATGATGAGTTATTGACTTTTTACAAAAATTACAATATTAAAAACTCAAGTGGTTTGAAAACGCCCTCAAATTTTATGAGGCAATTCACATAAAACAATGCTGTGTTATAAACAGTATATCAAAAAGTACTGTGCCAAAAACTTAATCAGCAATATTAGAGACAAAGCAAATAAACAACTTTTTAAGTATCTTCCTGAATGGTTTGAGGCACAAGAAAAATGTAAAGAACACTAAAAATATATTGTTGATCTGTTGTTTAGCACACAAGTTTTCAAATACTGTAAAGATATTTCAAGTAGAATTAAAACAAGGGCAGGGACAACAAATGACAAACTTGGTATTTAAAAACATAGGATATAAATGAAATTTTTCTCAATTCATGGGTCTTAATACTTATATTTTGCTTGTTAAGAGTGTGGACTACATATTTTGTGATTAATGTTTCTGTGTTTTCCATCTGTGTGCCTCTAAAGTTCAAACTGTTTATATATGTATATGTGCGTAACTGGTTTTATATATGTAAGACTTCAAAATACCAATTTTTAAATAGAATCGGAATTAAATTACAAAACTCTTCATCTATCATGAATGTTGATAAAAATCTTTCAATTCACCAAACTCAACCTCTATTTCTTCTATTGTAAATGTCGTTAAAGCATTGTCACTCGAATTATGTATCCCTGCCAAATTTAAAGAAAATAGGATAAGTGGAATTGCCTCGAAACGATATACCTCAATATCTATACTTGGTTATTATTTCAGTAAATCTGATATTTTAAAACATCTGAATGCAAACTATATCTCGACTTTAATTCAAGTCAACATTGTTCCATTCATACTTTTTTGTTGCACTTTCATCAATGAAAGTTTTGCTTTCCTTCCGATGAAGGCGCCACATAACGGGATACAATTTCATAATTTTTAGTAAAAACAGTATAGGTGGCTCTGGCAACCTCCATCCAATGCTTTTTACATTGTGGTTCACTATAAATCCTTAGACAATGCTTTCTGGAAATAAATTCTCGACTTATTTTTCAGATTACTTTCTGGAAATAAACTTTCGATTTATTTTTCAGATTAAGAAAGGTTAAAAACCCAGAAAAACAGCAAGAAACATTGACACCTCCACAAGAGAGAAAATGTTACTGCATGTAGAAAGTGATGTGGTCTTGGGTGATAGAGGTAGCAGCAACGAATACAAAGCCCATAGAAGCTCAGAAGTGGCATTTCGTGTCACCTAAAATTTTTAGGTGACACTAGAGGGCGATGACAGTGCGATGTCAGACAAAGATGTCAGCTTTGTATATAGACTAACCATATACAAAGATATCAGTATTTAATGTATCAACAGAATTGGGTAGCTAACAGTCGCTGCCAATCCTACCTATTTATCGGTAGTTCTACCGATTTGGTAAGTAATAGGTTTGTTTTGGTTCACAATTCTGTACAGTTCGATCATGCGCAGTTATTAAAATGGGTTTTGGTTCAGTTACAATCGTTCACAAAGTGTTTTGGTTTTCTCCAAACCGATTCGGAACTATTCCAGAATGGTAATTATTACCGTTTAGAACTTCGAATTGCTCTTGCACACACGGCAGATACAAAACCCGTAAACCTTTGTTTAATTGTGGTTGACAATGTTTATCGGTAAATGTTATAGATGTTCAGAATTTTCCTATCTAAAAAATAAACCATTGGTATGTAATGTAAACGTGTGAGAATGCTGATAGGTACAAAATTCGTATCTGAAATGGAAATTTATTGATGAGATTTGAAAGATGTTATTAATGATAAGTATAATGTCAATAACACTGGTTATGTCAACAGCTTCAATTTCCTCAAAGAGCGGATTGAAACTATTTATATCACTCTTTAATTACCACATTAGAAGAAGAGGGACATATTTTCAATTCAAACCGATTCGGAACTATTCCAGAATGGTAATTATTACCGTTTAGAACTTCGAATTGCTCTTGCACACAGGGCAGATACAAAACCCGTAAACCTTTGTTTAATTGTGGTTGACAATGTTTATCGGTAAATGTTATAGATGTTCAGAATTTTCCTATCTAAAAAATAAACCATTGGTATGTAATGTAAACGTGTGAGAATGCTGATAGGTACAAAATTCGTATCTGAAATGGAAATTTATTGATGAGATTTGAAAGATGTTATTAATGATAAGTATAATGTCAATAACACTGGTTATGTCAACAGCTTCAATTTCCTCAAAGAGCGGATTGAAACTATTTATATCACTCTTTAATTACCACATTAGAAGAAGAGGGACATATTTTCAATTCCCTTCTCATCCAGGGGGCAACAGAGAGCTGCTCCCCATGTCTAAATTGAAATATGAACATTCAGAGAAATGTCAGAGATATCATAAAAAGATATGCCTATTCTTTATTCATTTTAATTTTTTTCCTTTGGTGTACATATTTTACATATTACATATACATATTAACTGCAAATAAATT